AGAATGAGAAACCACCCCCTAGGGGAGATAGCCATGCCTCAATTCCTCCTCTTCTAGTCTCCTTGGGATCTTGGGTATGCATGCACATGTGTCAGGTGTGATTTTCAAGCCGATGGGTTGTGCAGTTGACCATGTGGGAGTCCAGCACCTTAACCACCACATTTGCTGTTCCCAAGAATATCAACATTTAATGGTTTAGGATGAGGTTTTGCCAGTTCCTCTGGACGAATATTGCTTCTCATTAGCAATATGTGAATAAATATGCTTACCTTAAAGAGACTGTAGACCATTTCCTTGAATTTCTGTACAGTAGTTCCTCTAGTTGGCTTATCAAATAGCACTATTTCTTTTCTTGGTTCCAATTCAGTTCCAAAGTCAAGATGAAGTGCTTGTTCCATTTGACATTTCACAACACCTGGTAGATTATCCCAAATCCCTAAATACATCTATGTGAAAAAGAAGGACAAGTATATATTATACTGAATTCTACACTCTAAAAAGTATACCGCTATGGGGACCAGCAGATTGTAGAACGGTTACATTGTGAAACTCCCACATGGCTGACTGTGGTTGAGTCCTGGACCCAGTGGCTTGAAACTCAGCAGGGCGCATGTGCATGCATGTGTGTCCAAAATCCTAACAAGAAAGTGGAGGGACTGTGGTGTGACCATCCCCCAGAGGGTGATTTCTCTCTCTCTCTCTGTCACTCTGGTGAATGCACGCACCCGATAGCAAAAATCTCTCTTTAAAAATATAATAAAAATGACAAAACAAAAATATACCATTATGTTTTTAAGGTCTTCCTCTAACAAAACAAAACGTAAATAAGTATCAAAAATTGAGATAGAGCTGTGACTATTTTTGTGTTGCAAAGTTGAAATCATGCTCCAAAGACTTTTTTCCTTAAATTAAACTTTTTTCCTTTTTTAAAAAATTGCTGGGACCAGCAGTTAGCATAACGGCTATGTCACTGAACTCCCATGTAGTCAATCGCGGTTCAAGTCCTGGACCCAGTGGCTAAAACTCATGACAGGCATGTGTGTGTGCATACATGCCCAAGATCCCAAGAGGAGAATGGAGGAGAAGGGATTGCGGTGTGGCCATCCCCCCGGGGAGTGATTTCTCACTTTCTGTCTCTCTGTCTCTCTGTCTTTCTGGCGAGCGCATGCGCCTATAGCAAAAACCTCTCCAAAAAAAAAAAAAAAAATTGCTATTAGTTGGGACCAGCAGTTAGAGTAATGGCTATGTTGCTGGACTCCCATGTAGTTGACCATGGTTTGAGTCCTTGACCTGGTGGCTTAAACTCATGCCGGGCGTGTGTGCGTGTGTGCCCAAGATCCTGAGAGGAGAATGGAGGAGAAGGGATTGTGGCATGGCCATCCTCTCTGAGGGGTGATTTCTCACTTTCTATTTCTCTGTCTCTGTCTGTCTTTCTGGTGAGCGCACGTGCCCTAAAAAAAAAAAATCAAAAAAATATTGCTATTAGTTGGGGACCAGCAGGTGGCATGGTGGTTAAGGCGCTGGACACTCCCACATGGCCGACCATGGTTCAAGTCCTGGACCTGGAGGCTTGCTTTCTCATTCCCCCCCTACCCCACCCCCAGGCTTGCTTTCTCACTCCTCCCACCCCCCCATCTCTCTCTCTCTCTGGTCAAATTAAAATAAATCAATGAATAAATAAAACTAAATAAATCTTTTTTTAAAATTGCTATTAGTGTATTAGTGCATGTGCACATCAGAGAGAGAGAGAGAAAAAGAGTGAAAGCATTCCCTAGTTGGAAGTGGTTACACTACAGTCTCTCTTCATTTCTCCATCCTGTCAGGATTTTGAGCGCGCGCGCGCACACACACACACACACACACACACACACACAGCATGTTTTTCAAGTTGCCAGGGTTGAGATTCAAACCACAGTTGGCCCTGTAGCATCTAGCTCCCCTAAGCTGTAGGCTATGGGGCTGGCCCCCTAAATTATTTTTTAACATTTATTTAGTTTATTTCTCTCACTAGAGAGAGTATGAGGGAGCATGCATGTGCACGTGTATGTGCAAGGCGGTGGTGGAGAGAGCGAGACACGCACAGAGTTCTGTCACACTGTGATCCCTTCCCCACCCTCCCGTGAGTGAAGATCTTGGGCACGCGTGCCTGTCGTGTGTTTCAGGTCAACCTGGGATCTGAACCTGCAGTCCGCCATGTATTAATAGCTTCTAGCACAGCAGGTCAGTATGCTACTGCCTGCACCACTGAGCTAAGTCCCTTAATATTTTTTAAAAATAGAAACTAATGCATGCCTAAATATATTTTTTAAAAGTCAAACTGAACAAAAGGAAGTAAGGCAAAGGCGAAATCCCTCCACATTTAATTTCCTCAATCCCACTCCCCAGAACTAGTCGCTGTGAAGTATCTAGTTCATCAGACTAACATTTTACAATGTTTATAATGTTTGTATTAATAGTATTTTTAGTTAATACGATCCTACTTGTTTTTTAATACTGAAGCAAGAGAAGCAGCTTGCCTTAGTGGTTCAGACTGTGAGCTGATCTCGGCCGCCTGGATCATTTGTTTGATTATTTGTTTGATTGTTTTAGTCCTTGGACTGACCCTAGTTAACACTGGTTAGTTACATTATTACCCTCACTTCAGTGCTGGGGAGACGGAAGCAGAGAGGGGAACATAGGGAAGTAACAGTCAGTGGCCAGTAACAGTCAGTGGCCGTGCACCGAGCCAGGCGGCCGGGATCAGCTGTCTGAACCACTAGGGCAAGCTGCTTCTCTTGCCTCAGTATAAAATAACAAGTAGGATCCTATTAACTAGTAATAGTACTAATACAAACCAAGCAGATTATATCACTCCCATTTCAAACTTGCCAATAAATTTCCAATTCAATGAGAAGAAAAGGCCAAGTCTTTTCCGATGCTGTTAAGCTCCATTTGAGCTGGCCTGGCTGCTCCTCCAACCTGATCTCTGCTCTTTGAACCTACCAAACTTGTTCCTGCTTCACTGACTGTTGGATCTGCCTGGGATGTGCACCCCCAGGTCCTCACGTGGCTGGGTGCTTCACATCACTCATGGCTCAGCTCAGATGTCATCTTCGAAAGGCCTTCCCTGACCCCCAATCTATCAAAAGAGTAGGTTCCTCCCACCCACAGGCCACCTTTAACCTATTATTCTATCTTATTTTCCTCATAGTCTTTGCCACTTTATTTATTGACTTATTTATTATCTCTCTTCTCTCACTTAAGAACATAAGGCACATGAGGCCACATATTTGTCTTATTCCCCATGCCGATAATGTAGCAGACACTCAAATGTTGTCTTGGTTCCAGAAATCCCCTTCCACATGATTAGTATTATCTATATAAGAGTTGTCTTAAATTTCTATAGCAGTAATGCACATTTGCCACAGGGTGCCTGTGCTCACTGGAGAGAGACAGAGAGAGAGGGAAAGTGAGAAATTACTCTCAGGGGGGATGGCCTTACTGCTATCCCTTCACCTCTATTCTCCTCTACGGATTTTGGGTACATATGCACATGCACCAGGTGTGATTTTCAAGCTGCCAGGTCCAGGACTGGAACCGTGGTCAGCCAAGTCGGAATCCAGAACCTTAACCACCATGCCACCTGCTGGCCCTTTATTTATATATATTTTTTAGTGAAGCAGAATTTTTTCATTAAGTTTACTAGCTGTTTGTAGTGGTTTTTTTTTTTTTTTTTTTTGGGGGGGGTGGTTTCACTGTAGGGCGCGTGCGCTTGCCAGACAGAGACATAGAGACAGAAAGCGAGAAATCACCCCCCAGGGGGGATGGTCACGCTGCAATCCCTTCTCCTCCATTCTCCTCTCGGGATCTTGGGCACGCACGCACACGCACCCGGCGTGAGTTTTAAGCCACTGGGTCCAGGACGCGAACCATCGTCGACTATGTGGGAGTCCAGCGACATAGCCATTATGCTAACTGCTGGTTCCCTGTAGTTCTTTTTTTGTGAGTAAGCTTCTTCTGTCTTTTGCCCATGACTGTAGTTTAATTCTTTACTCAGGAATGAGCTCAAATGTTATCTCAGAAAGGTGTGCCCTGATTAGCTCCTCTGAAGCACACCACCATTCCTGTCCCTTGAATCTTCTATTAATTGACCCCGTATATCTCCTATCTACAGGATGCTATATTCTATAATTATTTTGTTCATTTACTTATCTGTCAACTGTTTGTGTCCATAATACAAGGTCCATAATCAACACCGTAAGTAAGGAAGATGCTTGGAACAGGGGGTTAGGAAGTATCCTCTGATACTGAATGGATGAAGAGAAGCATACAAAATTGAAATACTGTATATAGAATGTCCTAACACTCTGGTTCAATCATTCTTTTAATAATACCTTTAATTTGAGGTAAAATTAGAGTGCACTGTCATTTTAGAATGTTTATTCATAACAGCCATACCTGATTGTTGGGCTTGGTGGATAAGCATTTTCCAAAATAAAGAGTTTCTGTAACACAGAGGCTATTACATGCAGGCCCATCAATAACTCCAGTCTTGTACTTATCACACTGAAAACCAGGAAATAAAAAAAAAAAAGTTAAAAGAAAAATGTTTATAAGAAGAAACAAAAGAAAGATACCAAAAGAGCTATCTATCAACACATCCTTTAAGAGAAAGTTCTGTGATGAAAAGAATTCAAGCTTTGGATTTAGCAGACATGAATTTTAATATAAGTTCTGTTAATTACCAGCTATGACAAAGAGAGAGCTTGCTGCCCCTGGGGTGTGCACAGAATTTTGAAACTATAGTAGCCCCCCTACTCCCATCCATGGTTTCATTTTCTGTAGTTTCAGTTACCCACAGTGACCTGAAAATAGCTCAGTTTAGCTCAGGAAGTATGGGACCAGCAGATGGTGCAATTGTTACGTCACTGGACTACCATGCGGTCAACTGCGGTTCGAATCCCAGACCCAGCAGCTTAAAACTCATGCCAGGATGTGTGTGTACGTGCTCAAAGTCCTGAGAAGAGAATGGAGAAGGGAGAAGATATTTTAAGACAAAGAGACCATATTCACATAACTTATTACAGTATATATAATTGTTCTATTTTACTATTAGTCATTGTTAATCTTTGTTTTTAAAAAACTATTTTAATTAACTTTATTTATAGGTATTATGTTTAACTTGACCAGAGAAAGACACAAAGAAAGAGAGGGAAAGTGAGAAAGCAAGCCATTAGGCCAGGGTCAAACTGCAGCCAGCCATGTGGGAGTCTATTACCCTCAACCACCACACAACCTGCTGGCCCCTCTTTTTTTTTTTTTTCCTCTTTTTTAAAGGTTTTTCCCATAGGGTGCATATGCTCAAAGAAGAGAGACAGAGAGAGACAGTGAGAAGGAAAGTGGCCACGCCTCAATCCTTTCTCCATTCTCCTCCCAGGATCTTGGGCACACATGCACACATGCCTGCCATGAGTTTCAAGACATCGGGTCCAGAACTTGAACTGCAGTCAGCTATGTGGGATTCCAGTGACGTAACCACTACACCATCTGCTGACCCCATTGTTAATTTCTTACTATACTTCATTTATAAATGAAATTTTGCTAGCTTGGAGGCACTCTATTTTTCTTAATTTAAAAAGTTTTTATTGTTTTTATTTTAGAGTTTTTTTTTTTTTTTTTTTTTTTGCTATAGGATACGTGCAGTCACCAGAGTGACAGAAATCAAGAAATCACCCTCCAAGGGGGATGGCCACGCTGCAATTCCTTCTCTTCCACTTTCCTCTTGGGATTTTGGGCACACATGCACAGGCACCTGGCATGCGTTTTAAGTCCCCCCAGCTGGGGGAGTAGTCCAGGATTCAAACCAAGGTCCACTATGTGGGAGTTCACTGATGTAACCATTATGCCCTCTGCTAGTCCCTAAAAAAGTTTTAAAATAACAAAGTAATTAAAAATAACAAAGTTATCTAACAAAATGATCTCTTTCATCTAGTCATCCTTGAGATCACCTAAAAACAGGAAGTAAAATATGAAAAAGAAATGCAAATTTTATCTCTGATAAAATACGGTATCAGTGTGACCCTAGGCACAGCACACAAGGGGATCTGCCAGATCCAGGAATCATTAAGTACTCAGAAGCATGCTGAGGTTAGATACCTGTCATGGTTCAACTCTCAGTCGGCAGGGCACCAAGTAGGGAGCACATGGAGAAACAAAGTCATCCCCGTGGTAGGCAATGGAGGTTAAGGGGCACAGCTGTGGGGACTTCCCAGCACTCTGTTTGGTATTACAAAGTAGTAAGACAGACAGGCCTGAATGAGAGAGTCCTGAAAATGCTATCAGGGTGGGAACCAGCAGTTAGCGTAATGGCTATGTCACTGGACTCCCACATAGTCGACCGCGGTTCGTGTCCTGGACCCGGTGGCTTAAAACTCACGCCAGGCGCGTGTGTGTGCGTGCCCAAGATCCCGAGAGGAGAATGGAGGAGAAGGGATTGCGGCATGACCATCCCCCCTGGGGGGGGGTGATTTCTCGCTTTCTGTCTGTATGTCTCTCTCTGTCTGTCTGGTGAGCGCACGCGCCCTACAGTGAAAATCTCTCAAAAAAAAAAAATGCTATCAGGGTTGAAGGCAGTCCGTTGATGAACTAGGGACCGAGGGTTGGGAGAGGCTGTGATAGGAGCACCCCACTCTCTCTGCAGGCCACACCAATCTGTGTGTTTCCAGCTCTCTGTCTCACTTTTTTTTTTTTTTTTTAGAGGTTTTTGCTATAGGGCGCGGGGACT